TGTTGATGAATTTGAGAATCTTAGGGCGGTAATGTAGGAGTTTATAGGTACTATGCAGCGGAAAACCATGAATCATATTCAATCAAGTACCTAATCCCAAGATCACATGCATAACACACAAGACACATAATCATACCTTTGAAGCGTGAATTCCACGTAGCAATTCGACAAGAAAACCAAGGAGAGAATGGAGCCCAAAGCATTGCTCCTTTACTTAGTCCACGAGCTTCGAACGAGTCGTCCACCAATACTAGATTGGTCGAGTGATTGAGAAAAACCGCGATCACCACTTTTAATGGACTAAGCAGACCACCACGAACCACCACCACAACGAACCACCACACTGGAGCTGAGGGAGGAGAGAGAGCCGTGAGAGAGAGGAGTATGAGAGGGGTTGGTCTCGTGTTTGCTAATAAAGGTTTGATTTCACACAGCAAACCCTAGGCACCTAGTCTATTTATAATCACATTATAGCTAGACTAGGGTAAGGAAGTCCAAAACCCTTCAATCCACTCCATGTGGCCGACCATACTAGGGGATGAGGCCCATTTTGGGCCTCGTCCTCTCGTGCCCGATCTAGACCCTTTGTGTGACCTTATAGGATCCGTCTAATTGGGATTTGGGCTATTTTACTAGCTTAAAGATCGTTAGTACCTCTAGCTATGATAAACGATGATCCAAATGTCCAAACTTAATTATCTCCACAATTTGATCCATTTATATATCTAGTAATTGCACACGACAAATACATAAATCCTTCAATCTCCCACTTGTCTGAGACAAGTGTGCAATATTCAAATTCCTTAAGTCAATATGTGTCGATTTGATAATATGATTGCATCAAATGTCGAGATCATATTAGTCTACAAATCATTTCTTGAAATCTGAGTTAGAATTACAAAACCAAATGATTACTGAGTAATGCATTTGAACGCGGCCACGTATTTTCTTAATTCGATCTCCATCTTCAAGCGGCCATGACACATTTTCTAATTTTATAGGTAGACTCAATCCAATCTTGTGGCAACAAGGCTCCCACTCAACTATTGAAATGACCGGGAAACAGACTTTATAATCTCCAGTTACGGGCAGACGTTTGAGTGTACCACAGTCACAACATCCATTGAATGAAATCAATGTTCCACTCATGTCATAGGAATCCACTAATATATCCGGAAGCTCTATACTTGAGCTTCAAAGTAGGTCTATAGTTTGATCATGCATCATTCATGCATATCCAAGTGATTGACCGAGCATCACTATGCCCCTATAGCCCATGAAACTGCACTATCCAATCAATCTCACATGCTAGTCCATTTATTGAAATCATTTATATCCACTTTAATGATTTTGAACTAGGAACTTAAATAATATATGAATTTTGTTCACCTGTGGGGTTTCATTCACCAGGTCATCAACATGATGAGCCCATCAATTCATAATTATTTTGGACATTTTTATTTAATTTTCAAAACCATAATTAAATAAGAGAAATGAAATTTCTATTTTAAACATAATCCTGCCAATTGATGCATTCCTTATGTAACATGTTTTCTCAAAACATATACAACTTGAATTGCATAACTTGCTTCAATCCAAGTCTTTAATATGACTCTCATATCTCAGTCTATGGAAGGGGTTTAGTGATTTCTCACTCATAATAAAACTTTGCAAATCACAACACATCTTGTTTGTCATTGATCTCATAAATGAGGTGATATCTCATATCTATTTGTTTGGATTTGTGATGTAACCCTGACTCCTTTGTTTTTGCATAGGTATCCTTTTTTGTCACAAGACAATTTGATCCAAACTTCCTCCTTAACTACTCATATTGTAGTTACATGCATATATTATGAATATTGGGTATGCAACAGTGTTCTGCTTTGAACTCTTCAAGCTTACTGTCCTTCATCATCCAGACACAAGTATGCATCTAAATCAACATCTAGAGTCATATTACCTGTCTGGTAAACTTTCATTTGTATAACCTTTGACAACTTATTCACTTTTAACACCATTAGCTAGAAAAATTCCTTTAGTTCTTCTAAAGTACTCAAGGATTTGCTCTTTGCAATTTTTAGTATGCTTGTTCTGAATTTACTTGCAACCTGTTACACATGCACAAGTCATATGTAACATCTTACTTTGTACATATCATGACACATATAATGGACCCTTTTGCAAAAGCATGAGGCACACTATCCATGCAACTCAACTCTATTAGCTTTTGAAAGCACTGAGCTTTACTCAGCGTACTACCATGAAACATGGGAAAACATCCACTCTTAGATTCTTGCTTCATGAAGTTGTCAAGATCCTTATCAACATAAGTCTCTTGATTCATTCCAATCATTCTTCAAGATTCACTTCATGGATCATGATTCCCAATATGTACTCAACATCTCTAAGTATTTCATGTTGAAGCAACTCTCTAACCACTGCTTGACTTACAATCATTGATATGTCTTTTCATATGAATTGTATGGCATCTACATACATGACTAAGAAGACCAATTGCTCCCACTAAACTTCTTGTCTCTACATACATGACTAAGAAGACCAATTGCTCCCACTAAACTTCTTGTCTCTAAAAGATTCCTTATCGTTCTTTGAGGAAATCAAACTGTTTTGATAACCTAATCGAAACGAATGTTCCAACTCCTTGATGCTTACTTCAATCCATAAATGAATTTCTGAAGTTGTATGTCATCTGCATACATGACTAAGAAGACCAATTGTTCACACTAAACTTCTTGTCTCTACAAGATTCCTTATCGTTCTTTGAGGAAATCAAACTGTTTTGATAACCTAATCGAAACAAATGTTCCAACTCCTTGATGCTTACTTCAATCCATAGATGAATTTCTGAAGTTTGCAAAACTTTCTAGGAATTATGGATTTCCAAATTCTTAGGTTGTATCATATACATATCCTCTATCAAGAACATTTCAAGAAGGTGATTTTGATATCCATTGCTGAACTTCGTAATCGAAATCAGCAATCACTAAAAGAATCCAAATAGGCTTACGCATCTAATAGGTTTGACCCTATTTTTAAGAGTTTCATGGACTAGCATATCCTTACAGACATGGAGTCCATACTGGATTTCTTGGCTTTAGGTCATTTCCTAAGTTGGAACTTATCCAAAGCTTGCTTGTAGGGCATGGATTCCAACCATTCCCATAGGAAAATTTTAGAATCCACCTTTTTCTCAGAATTTCAAAAAACTGTTTGTTTTTATCCCAAGTAATCTACAATAGGTATGAACAACAATAGAATTATTCATTTCAACTCTTTAAAGCCTTTCATTCAAGTAGGACGATAGAAGTCTCGCTAGTAGAATTAGCTTGCATCGACACATGGTTTATCAAATTAGCTGATTTCATATGCCTTCGTCTCTGATGTGGTGTTATTCACTTCCTTTTTTGCTCATCTCGAATCTCATTGAGATCTAAATTTAATCCCACTTGGCTTTGTAGGAAGAGATTTCTTTCTATAAAGACACCATCACGAGTAATAAACACTTTGTTTTCTTCGCGATTGTAGGAATAATACCTTTTAGTTTCCATGAGAAAACCCATGAAGAACTATTTGTTTGATTTAGGGTCTATACACTAGTAGAAAAATTGCATTTGGCACCCCCCATATGGCACGGTTCAGCCCAAACCGGTGCCAAAAATCGGCCCAAAATTGGGCGGGTTTTTAAAAAAAGGGAAAAGGCACCGGTTTGGCCTGAACCGGTGCCTAAAAGTAAAAAGGCACCGGTTTGAACCGGTGCCAATTGAACCGGACCCAATTCAAAAAAAAAAAACGCGGACTACATACCTCTTCTCCTACCTCTCTTTCTCTTTCTCTTTCATTCCTTCTTCAATCCTTACTGTTTCATTGGAGCTGGGTTTCGACCTTCAATCCTTCCTCTCTCTCCCTCCACCATAGCTGTCACCTTCACCGGCGGCCACCAGGGGTTTCGAAAACCGGTCGCGCGCCTTCAATCCTTCCTCTCTCTGTTTTCCCTTCCTTTCTCTTTCGAAAATAAATCACCTATTCGAAAATTCCTTCCACCGCCCTGAGGTTGCTCCACCACCTAGCCGCGCCACCCCCCTGAGGCTCCTCCACCACCGAGCCGCGCCTTCAGCCTGAGTGTCCTCCTCCATTTTCCGTGAGTGCCAGCTAGCTGATGCCCTAATTTTCTCCTCCACCACCTAGTTGCGCCACCCCCCTGAGGCTCCTCCACCACCGAGCCGCGCCACCGGCCTGAGGGTCACCACCGAGTCTCCTCCTTGCTGCTGCCCTAATTGTCTCAAGGTTTATTTTTAATTTTATGTAATTTTAACTTCTCAGGTTTCATAAATCACTATATATGCCCTTTGATTTTAGGGTTTAAATTAGGTTATTATGAAATTTAGGATTTCTAATTTTTGATGCAGTGGCTGTTTTGTGATGAGTGACTTAGTTTGCAACTTTAAATCTTCCCAATTATTGTGAAATTGAACCAATTTACTTGGTAATTGAGAAATGTTAAGTGTTAATGTTGTTGTTGTCTCTTATTATGGGTGTGTAATTGTTGGGTTTGTACTTAGTTTTAGTTTCTGATTCAAGTATTTGAGCTAGTGAGAATCTCTTATGCTGTGTCAATGGCAATATTGTTGACAGCCCAATTTTATTGAACTTAGTCAAAAAGTTCAGGTATTGATCAATATTGTGTGTGTATATATATATATATATGTCTTCATTTTCCTGTTTGTTTTTCTCTTATTAGTTGGTTTTCCTTTATTCTTGGAAGCAGGATTCCTTTCCAAGTCACTTCCAAGTCATTTATCAGAAATAATATTCTTTTCGTTTGGGCAAATACTTGTATGAAGGCTATTTGAATATTTGATATACTCTGAATTACTCATTGTGTTTAGGTGATCTCACTTTTTCTGGCTCTTATTCGTGGGTTGCTCTGTTTAGTGATCTGTGTGAGTTTCTACAAAATAGAGCTTGATATTGTTTTATGAGAGTTTTTTGAACTTCCTGTGCATCATGGGTACCTTGTCCGGAAGCCTTCAACGACCTCTATTCACAGCTGCTGCTGTTGCCGTGGCATCTGTTTCAACTGATCTTCCGAACAAGTTAACGGATACCAAACAATCTGATCCTTCTGTTGCCTCAGAAACATTGGCTTCATCATCATATTCATCACCCCATGACTCAGCTTACAGTTCAGGATTGTCATGGGTGTCTAACATTTCAGTTTCCAAGCTTGCAAGGTTGTCGTTTGTGACCAGAATCCGGGTGCCAGTGCCTAATATAAACTATCATCCAATACCAAATTCAAGCTGCAGTTTTGCTGGAAATTCAGTGGGTTCATCTCCCATTTTGGTTAACCTTTACCAGTCTGCTGAGTTAGCCAAGGCCTCGAAACCCAAAACATATTCTTATCCTAGTCCAAGCGTGCCATCCTCAGACTTATACAGGTGGCATTTGCCTGAGCCTAGTACTGTTGATGTTGCTGGAAAGTCAGATTGCTCTTCTGCAAAATCTAGGACAGTGGTGGTTTTGCTGGGATGGTTGGGAGAAAAGAAGAAGCATTTGAGTAAATATGCAGAATGGTATACTTCAAAAGGCTTTCATGTAATCACCTTCACTTTTCCAATGTCTGAGGTTCTCAGCTACCAGGTTGTTGGGAAAGTTGAGCAGGATGTTGAGTTGCTTGTAAACCATCTTGCTGACTGGCTAGAAGAGGAGCATGGCAAGAACCTTGTTTTCCACACCTTCAGTAACACGGGTTGGTTAACGTAAGTCACCATCTCATTTTCTTGCTTACCTCGTTTATATTCTCAATTTGCTTGTTATTTTGCTAATTAGATGTTCTTATGTCACCTTAGATACGGAGTTGCTCTGGAGAAGTTTCATAAGCAGGACCCTTCTTTAATAGGGAGAATTAAAGGTTGTATCGTGGATTCAGCTCCAGTTGCATCCCCAGATCCTCAGGTAATTATGCTAAAAATTTCTCTTTTTACATGTATGTATGGAAATCAAAATGTATATTTTTAGTTGCTTGGTGAGGGGAATTACTTATTTATATTCTACTTTGAATGTCAATGGCAATTTATCAGCCTTTAGGATTATCGTGAGCCATTTTGTCACTCTACTTGTATGAGGATGTTTCTTCATGCCTTGAGCTCTTGGTTATTGAGCTGATTTCTCACTAGGTGCATCAAGATGATGTAGTAGATGTAAGCTTCATAGGATCCATTTCCTTAGCCCTAGTTATGCTTTCTGCATGGAAGAGTGAATTCTTTTGTTACTTATGTTGTCCCTCTTTTTTTCTGCCATGCAGTATTTGGAATTGTTGCTTGTAATTCTATCTGTATGTTTTTCGGCATTTATCTTATCAATTACTCTGTATCCTTAAGATGGAAGATTCAGGTCTAAACGTGATGCAAGGAAAGGAGGTATGACAACTGCAAATTTGCGGTCTTTTAATTTACTTGCTGATTTCTAGCTTTATGCTTGCCTTGCTACTTTTCCCTGTTATTCTTGGAACAATTTCTACAAATCCTTTGTAATTTTCTAGTAATCCTTTCATAAACTCATGCTGAATATTGAACCATATATTTACTATCACTAAATGGTGTTTCATGTATTCATGCAAGTGGAAAGAAGGGAAAAGGACGAGGAGGCGGACGAGGAGGTGGAGGAGGTGTTTCATTTAATAAGAAATGTAGGAAATGGGCAAAGTAAGGTCATATAGGCCATATTCGGGCCATTTTGAGTAAAAAGCGTCATAAACCTTAATAAAATGCTCTCCTATACAATTTTAGGGCTTACACACATACAACTACCCAACATTGACATGTTATGAGAAAGAAATAGTTCATTTGATAAGTAATGTAGAAAATGGGCTACATAGAAGTCATATAAGCCCTATTTGGGCCATGTTGAGTAAAATGCGTTGTTAAACTTCTAGAAATGCTATATTGATGTGATTTCTAGCCTTAGACACCTAATATTATCCAACAATGACATTTTATGAGAAACAAAAAGGCTATTTCACAAGAAAGGTAGAAAATGGGCTGAATAGAAGTCATATGGGTCATATTAGGGCCATTTTGTGTTAATATGCTCTTTTGATGTGATTTCTTTCTTTATACACCTATAACTAGATAATATTGACGTTTTATGAGATAAATAAAGTTCATTTAATAAGAAATGTAGGAAATGGGCAAAGTAAGGTCATATAGGCCATATTTGGGCCATTTTGGGTAAAAACCGTCATAAACCTTAACAAAATGCTCTCCTATACAATTTTAGGGCTTACACACATACAACTATCCAATATTGACATGTTATGAGAAAGAAATAGTTCATTTGATAAGTAATGTAGTAAATGGGCTATATAGAAGTCGTATAGGTAATATTTGATAAAATACATATTTTTTTCCTAATTAATTATTTTTAAAATAATGTTTTTGTATTTCAAGTTTTGCAAGGTCCAAAAGGATGGTCCGTTGAAAATCAAGGAGCTTAATGAAGTTCGTGACATGTTGGCGTCTTTCATCACCTTCAACATGTAAATGGCATGCATTGTAATTGTAAATTATAATTTATGTTAACTTTTGAACTATATATAACTTATTATTCATTATATATGTGTACTTACTATTATTTGTATATGTAAGCAACTGTTTTTTTTTTTGTATTGCGTTTGAGAATATTTATATTTATATATATATATATATATATATATATATATATATATATATAATTGAATTCTTGTATCTAATATTATTTTTGTATATAATAATTAATAATAATATTATTAGTTATTATAATAATAAAATTATTAATTATTATATTTAATATAATTGCTGGAATTACAGGTTATTATTATTGCAGGTTTTTTTTTAAAAAATATTATTGCACGATTGAAAAAAAAAACGAAAAAAAAAAAAATTATACAGAAGGCACCGGTTAGGCAGGAACCGGTGCCTAAACTATCCACCACCCAAAAAAAAATGGCGGGAGAGTAGTTTTAGGCACCGGTTAACCGGTGCCTATTTCACCCTATGGCACCGGTTAACCGGTGCCTATTAAACCCTATGGCACTGGTTTTGAACCGGTGCCAAATAGCAGGTTTTTGGCACCCCTCAAATAGGCAGCGGTTCAAATCGGTGCCTTAGACCGGGTTTGAACCGCTGCCTAATGCCTTTTTTCTACTAGTGATATGTCATCTTCGTAAACATTTTACATTGATTTCATAACCCTTAATCTTGTTTAGAAAAGATAACTTTTGGAACATTTTTAAATCATAACTCTTATGACATCTTTTCTACTGTTTTGGTTAAGTTTTCTATTTAGTATATTCGCAATTGTTGTTGTAATGCATATCCTCAAAACGATATTTGTAAATCATTAAAGCTAATCTAGGATCGAACCATGGCAAGCAAAGTTTGATTCCTTCTTCATAAACATACATTTTAATTGTATTGTTTCTGGATTGTGAATTAATTCAACAATTCCCTTTTAGATGATCATTGATTTTGAGTTAAATATTTATCACAACAATCATATTGTAGTGCTAATTTGTTTATCTCAAACTGATTTCATTTTGGAATTCTTGAACATTTCAATGATTCCAAGATTTACTTCATTAAGTAATTATCAATATAGTTACTTCAATCGTTAGTAAAAGCAATGAAATAGTTAAATCTCTTTGCTAATTCTTGAACTTATGGTCCACACACATCATATGTACGGGTCCCAAAAGGTTAGTTCTTTTACCCTTTCAACTAAAAGGCAACTTGGTCATCTTACCTTATCAAGCATGACTTCAAATTCTTAAGTGATTCATAATCAATTTAGAATAAGAGTCCATCCAATGTAACTTTGGATGTGCAAATTGGTTAAGTGATCAAATCTTACTTTGTTTTAAGTAAGTTTATTTTAAATCATCTAAAGTGCTTTTGTGATCTACTTATATCAAAGTCATAAAACAACATTAACTCATATGTAGCAAAATGAAAACAATTTATTACCTTGGTCATGGATCAACACTTGTCCAAGCCAAGTAAAACAAAATCAGTATTCTAACTAACACTGAAAATTATCTCATCAAAAATGGAAATTGTTCTAAAATCATGATAAACTGATCATATAACAAAACTATGAAGCTATTTCTTGCCACTCAAACACTTATAGTGCACCTTAGCTTCAAGCTCCATTTCCATGCTAGCCTCACTTGTTTGCAATTCCTGCGAAACATTCATAATGTTAAGCACTGCAACTTGGTATCACATACCTAAGTGAAATTTAAAATGTTTATAACATAATACCTGAGGTTGATGCTCCATTCTTCTTGAGTAAGTCAAGGTATTTCTAGAAATTGCGTTTCCAATGCCCCTTCTTCTTGCAGTAAAAGTGTTCACTTTCACTTGCAGCCTAGGGTTTTGGATTTGCCTTAGGCTTCTTAGGAGCCTTGGCAACTTGCTTGTCCTTGCTCTTGGCACTAGCCTTTTTCCCCTTATTCTTGAACCCCTTTCCCTTTTGAATCAGAAGAACTTCCTTCTTAGGTTCCTTAGGAATTTGCTTTTCAGCACTAACCAGCATTGCGTGCAATTGATTCATAGTCTTTGCAGTCGTAGTCATGTTAAAATTCATGATAAACAGGTTAAAACTTTCTGGAAGTGAGTGGAGAATGATATTAGTTTCCATCTCATCACTGTATGGGTGCCCCAATTTCTCCATATTTGAATCAAGCCGATCATTTCGAAAACATGATCATGAACCGTGGCACCCTTCTCCATCCTACAATCCAGAATCTCACGATAGAGCTCATACCTTTCAACTCTAGCTTATTTATTAAACAAAGCTTTGAGTTCTTGCATGACTGTGTGCGCATCCTGATCCTCAAAACGCTTTTGAAGACTAGGTTCCATGATAACAATCATCAAACAAGTGATAGACACATCTCTATCATGAGCTTCCTTGTGCTTCTTTACTTCTGCCACAGTTGCAGTTTCTGGCAGAGGTCCTGGCAATGGGGTGTCAATGTCATCTTCTCTATCTTCAGATTTCAGAACGAGCCTTAGCATTCTTTCCCAAGTGGAAAAGTTTTCTCCTGTCAACCTTTCCTTTTCAAGGAATGGTCGAAGATTGTAAATGTTGTTGTCATTGTGATTACAGTCACCCATCTATATCAAAATAAGACAAAGTTTAATAATTATGTTTAATTCAACATTAAAGTACCATAACGATTAAATTGGTAACTTTAAAGCACTTTATTCAACATTAATTAATCCCAATTGAATTTTAAGTGATTCCAAGATCTTTTATTTGTGTAATATTTGACCGGACCGAGGCTCTAACATCAAGCATTACCTTTTCAAGGTGAGTAAACTCTTTATTGATTACAACTCTTGTAACTCTTGGTTGAATAATTAACCATCACATGCTTAATTATTACCCTATGATTCAAGGTTCTAAACGCTTTAGGTAACCTTGTTGAGCGTAACTAATTATATATGTAGAACGTGATCTACCCCATATTACCTAAAATAACAAGTGACGCTCTGCTGAGGCCGACCCATCACTCACGATTAAAGGATTGTTGGGTATCTAATTGGAAAAGCAATCTCAATATTACTAGGACCTAGATTCATTTAAATATGTTGTGATTATTTAGTGAACTCTAGCGCATCATCAATCAACATAAATAAAATCTAACATGCATAATCTACTAATGGAATAAAACATGAAATAGTATGGCCCCTTAGTCCTAAGAAAACTAGATATGAAAAGCTCCCACTTGAATCATCATGGATCTCCATCCACCTTGCTCCTTTGGGCCTTCACTTCATGGGCTTCTTTGGAATAACACTATTTAAATAACTAGTCTATTTACTTTAAATAAAAGTTACAAAAATACTTAACGGTACGGTACACATACCGTATTTAGATTACAAAAATACATCACGGTGCGCATATCGTATTTTAGAATCTATGGGACATACTAGTCTATATATACAGCAACATAATATCAAATATTATAAAATGTCATATAATAAATCACTCAACATGCTTGTCTAAACTACAACATCAAATGTTCGTAATTAAGGCAACGCAATTCCTAAAATATCTAATATTTTAAATCATAATTAGATAATATCATATATTATTTATGACCAATCATAAAACATCATATATTTTAGTTTAGGCATGAGATAGAATCAAATATTATTTTAATCTAGAAAGATAAATCATATTTAATCTTCCATGATTATCCTAATAACTTTAGGAGATTCAATCGTAATTACTAGCCGATCAAATAATTTTAAAATCAATTATATCCTAATCTAATTATGGGATAACGTACCACATTATTTAGATAAATTATTATCCATTTGGAATATGCTC